CTTAAGGTAGTTCATCCAAAAACGCGATGTCGACAGAAAAATTTAAATTTATGCTTAAATGGTACCTAATGATTGACTTAATACGTAGCTAAAATTTTATTTATTTCTGACGTACCGTTTTTTAACTGTACTGCTTCAAAAGTATCCTTTTTAGCACGTGTAGCATAGGTAAACAAACTCTCCTACTGATTAAAAAAAATTCTATCGACAGAATATTGAAAACTAATATTTATTCAGAAGGCAATGTCTTGCCGATCAAAATAAAACCAAGAATTTTCAAATCTGACGTACCGTTTTTGAGTAATCATAAAGCAAAGTAATTAATTTTGTATGAAATACATAATAAGCTGAAATAAAGAATGTGAGAGCGGCAACAGCGCACTATGTCAATAATTTCCCTGCAGCTGTGACCTATGTTATCAAGCTCGAATTTACTTTCTTTCTAAAATACTTTTTGCAATGCTTAAATTTCCATCATTCAGCTTTTCACTTAACTTCTTTTTCACTCGAAGATTTGCGAGTCTTTTTTTTTTACCTTCGACAGCATTCTTTTTCGCGAATCTCCCGTTGACAATAAACTGCTCACACCGAGGCTTCGGCATTTTTCGCGTATTTACAAAAACATAACCTTGTAGACGTCTACTTTAGGATAGTAGTATTACTCCATATACGGGCATACTTACAATGTTTCCAAACCATTCCAGTACTTCTTATGAGACTATGTTAGTGTACACATGCACACATCTTAATCTGTTTGATAGCCAGTAGTGCTCAAAGTTTAGATTTTTGGTTATGAATGTTCTCATACGGGGAGCCACATGAAAAGAATGAGAGACACTTGTGTGGATGAACTACCTTAAGCCTGTAGTGCCCGGGTCCTGGCATCGATGTAAGGCTTGCCTGGCCAGGCCAGGCCCTGGTCTTAGCCTTTGGATCATATTCTTGTTGGGCATATATATACATTCCAAAGGAATCGGACCGACCGACCGACTGACTACAAAACAAAACGTACCCACTGTCTGTATTCCGAGCTCCGAGCGCACCGAGCGACAGACTGAACAGACTTATACTACTTTTGCCTTAACGCCGTCAGCGCTGCCACACGTCTAAACTGTCAACTAATCGGTTTCAATTGAAATTTCGACAGTTTGTTTTTGCCGTTGTTAGCATTAGCGTCAGTTAGCGAGCCAGCAACGAGAGGCATGACGCCTAGTGAACGAACGAATTCATTCTGAAAGCACATTTGATTGTTTCCTTGGTCTCCCAGAAAACTGACTGGGATATGTTTGGGATTTAACGTTGGTAAAAAGTGTGTACCCAAGCGCGAAAGCTGGTTCATAAACATTGATATCACTCCAAGTAGTGGGGGTAGGTGAATAATTTTCCAGCATGACGGATTTTCGAGAACGGTTTAAACGCGTCGGCTTCGGTCGGGAAGATGTGGACGTCAACCGAGTGTTGCGTAGTCAACGTCGAGAAGAGTCTAGGCACGAGCAGCGCAGCGTACACTACAACCGGAAACGCGATATTGAAGATGACAGTGATAACGATAGCTTCTTCGAGCCCGAACTGGTCAGAGACCACGATAATACTCAAGAAAAAGAGCTGCAACAGGACAGCCCTAAGGATGCTAAAAAAAAGGCTGCCGGTGTAGTAGGTGGGCTCGATTTTACTTCATTATTTCTTCTTTTTCTATCTTCATTCGTGCATTTGTTGAATCTTAGCATAGAATCCCATACGTTGCATTGTTTTAATGAAGTAGTTTAAATTGTGTATTCATTCATCTCAAAATCTTATTACACATCTTAGATGTATTGTAAACTAATTATGTATCGTAAAAAACCATAACATATCTTTGCCAACTAGACATAGAAGTTGCTGTGCAGCAAAGACTACTGGAATTGGAAAAGTGGAAAGAAGAGAGGGCCCGCAAAAAAATTCAGGAAAAAAAAAATCTGAAGCCTGCATTTAAAGTTGGTGTCGTACATCATAGGATTTACTCTCCACCATTGAATAAAAATTCAGTGCCTGTGCCACCCACGAAGCTTTGCAAGAGCAAAGATGCACAACATGAAGAACAACAGCCTCCCAAAAGAGTCACCAGAGCAACAGAAAAACGGTTGGCTGCTAAAGCTATTACAAATCACCAGAGGCGTGAAGACTTTAGGAACAAAAAAAAGGTTTATACCCTAGATCTTGTTAATTAAACCTTTATTAAATATTTACGTACTTAGCATTTTTAACAATGATTTTACAGCAGGCACTGGCGAGCGATAAAAATGAAAAAAAAGCACAACTGGCACCTCAAAATTATAAATTCAAAGCTCCGATGGGAGTGACTCCACTGCCTGCGTTTGGACGTATGGCTTTCAAGGATAGCAAGGAAAATATTGACTCTTGTAATACTCTTACTGTGACATCCTCCATCAGCGAGTTTGGAGAAAATCTCTCTAGCTTGTCAGATTCCGTTTTTCTGTCAAGTACTAAATTTTCCAACACATCTGAGATCAAAGGTGGACATTCAAACTTAACATCAGCAACAAATAATAAAATCTCACATGATTTGGTGGATAATTCGTCTGTAGAAACAAAGTCTGAGAAGTTGTCTTCTCAAGATCAAGAAGTGTCCAGCAATCCTGAAGAAATTGAATTTAAAAAAATTCTTCTTAGCCCCCCCAGGCGCTTAAAGTCGTCTACAATAAAGAGAACAAGAAGATCTACTAGAAAATCCATTATCAAACCTTCTGATGTTGAACCTATGATTATTGACAGTTCAGAAACAGTTTTACAAGATCAGACATCCGTTAAGATTCAGAACCATAGTGACGATATGAATAACGGCAGTGCATTGAAAAATATTGACAAAGGGACCAATAAGAGGAAATCATATGGAACTAGGAGATCCAAAAAAATATTCGAAAATCAAACTGCAAGTCCCACAAAATCAAAAGATGTTAGTTTTACACAGACAAACACTCAAGACTTGAGTAACGTCGAGAATATTGATTTTCATACAGAAAATGAAAACAGTATACATACTACAAGTGCTTATCAAAATATTAAGAATGAAGTTATTGAAGAACCAGTTATTGACAATAGTTGTATTGTCGAGTCACAATTAAAAGATAATCTAAGCATGATTAACTCTAAATTAAAAACCACGACACTGGACTCGCCTATGTTGCTATCCAAACCAGTAAAAGCTGTAACAAAAAGAAGCTCCATAAAAAGTGTCAAATTAATCTTAAAAGATGATGCTACGCAAAAAATTCAATCTAATATTTCATGCAATCAAGAAAAAGAACAACTGATTGCTGTCCCGGGTGATACAAATGTTTCGAAGCTCAACACATCGGAATTTGTAGGCAACAGGAAATCTGCGAGATTTACTAAATCAAAATCTGCTGAAATAGCAGTTGAGACTTCGACAGATCCACAAAGTACCGATTCCAAATTATCTAGGCCCAGCAGAAAATCATCAATAAATAGAAAAAGCTCCAAAAGGGCATTAAATGATGAAAACATACCTGTTGATTCGCCAATGAATGAAGTATCGTCGTATGTTAACGACCAAGAAGTCCCAATAAGTCGCGAGAGTGTATTTGATTTACAAAACAAACACCTTCTTGACATCACGCACTCGGATTTGAACAAGTTCAAGGCTTTGAAAAAAAATAAGCACTTAAAAATTGATGTGTCAACCCCCATGAGCATCCAGGATCAGTCCTTGATTAAGTTCTCTCCTCGTCAATCGTTGCGCCTCCAAAAAGAGAAAAAAAAGCCTCAAGCTATTTTGATGGAAGTTGATTCAACCACCGAAACCCCAGAAAGTGGAATGGCAGATCGGTGTCTGACCGAATTCGATCCATTGGTGAACGAAAATCTGAACGAGTCAACATCCTCGGAGCCGACGATACGTAGATCCTCTCGCAGTCCCAACCTCTCCCAGGACTCTCAGTTAAACCTGACCCAATTAAACGAGTCGTCCTCCGAGAAGCCGCCGGCATTCTACTCGCCGTTTGTCGTCACTAGTCGTGGCAAAAGTAACATAAGAAAGGAAGTGCAAAAGCGACGCTTCAGCCATCATCTCGGTGCCGAGGACGTACCTACCAAGGATACCATCATGCAGAGTCTCAACATATCTGTCGAAGAGGAAGAACGTACTGCCCAGGTGAGCACGCGTCAAATGAATGTTTCTTTATATTTCCATGCACTATTTGATTCATAAAAGTTGTTTGTTTGTTCTTTTATCACAGTATTATAAGTACATTCTCGACAAAGAGATTGAGCGCCTGAACGAGCTCTGTGCTAACTGGAACATGGTCAAAGAAGCCGAGGCCACGCCTGAAGAGGCTAGCTACTGGATCCAGGCGGCGGTCGGGCACACTCAGCTGCTTATCAACAAGAAATTCGAGCGTTTCCGTGGACTTGTTCTGGATTGCGAGACCGGTAAGGGTGAGATGCTGGTCACCTGCAAGGATCTCCAAGGTTTTTGGGAAATGATGTACATGGAGATCAGAGATGTAGACAGCAGGTTCAACAAGCTGAAAGAACTCGAGAAGAACAATTGGGTCGAGGATGAGATCGAGGAGAAGGTGGAGGTCAAGCCCAAAAAAAAATTGGTGCCTGTAAAAAAGCCTGTCGTTAAAAAGAAGCCAGCAGCAAAGTCCAGCTCGATCAGGGCGCACATCATGGCTGCAAGGAAAAAAATGGAAAACAAAGATGATCAAATGGACGTGAATATGGAGATCGATGTGAAGGAGCCCTCGAATAATGAACCACAAGTAAAGATCAAGGTTGACAGACAGAATGGTGTGCCCAGTATGAGGAATTCGCGTCGTTTCTCGACTCCGAAAACGTTGGCGAACGACAGGCCAACGCCGTCCGGTCGAAAGTCCCTACCCGTGATCGGAAGTCCACTAATCATGATGAAAGTGAGTCAGATGTGTAAGACGCCTGAGGTGCGGTTGGACGGCTCGATCGTTTACATAAACTCTGACCAGACACCTGCTAAAAGTATTCTGAAAGATAAAACGAAAGAAGACGTGAATGGCTTTGTTGCCAAGTCGAAGAATAAGGTCTTGTTCAAGACCCAGCATGCGGAGATCCAGGAGTATATTACTCGTGAAGATGACTCCAGGAATTCAAGTACGACGCATATTATATTATTTGTTTCTATATTTCGCATTTGTCTGTTAATAATATATTTCTCTCGTTGTAGATGAATTCAATGAGTCTGATAAAGAACCAGTTGAGAGAAAACTTGATTTTGAGGAAGATAATTTAAGCACGTCTCCTGTTGATGAGGCCGAGAACAACAAAGATCAAGTTGAGCTTAGACATGTGAGTTTAACTTACAATATAATGTTTAGTACAATATCTAAATAATTAATTCGACACATTTACAAAATAAGTCCTTTTACCCAGTGCGTTTTAAACTTCTCTTTAATACCTTTAGAATACTCCAGATAAAAAAAAGAATATTAGGATTATATATAAAAGACAAACAATAACAACTGATCAGACTTTAGAGAGCCAAGAGGCAATAATAATACACGATACATTCATATTACTTTCTGCAAGTGCCTTGTGCACGTGTGAAAATTCAATAGTTATTTATTTCTTTATTATTCTTTTTAAGATTTAACATGTGAACAAATATATAACTTTTTCGAAAGAATTCATACAATTGTAAATAAAATTTCAGCAATTGTTTTTGGGTGAAGATGGTGTAGTATGCGAAAAATTTTTACCTGTCACACCTCAAGCATCAGTTGGAAAGAGGAGAAACTCTGAGGTATGAGTACAAATATATTTTTACTTTTAAAGTGATTTATAAATAAATTTATTTAAATAAAACAAAATTTTCTCATTCGCTCAGAGATCAAACAAAAGCCCAAAGAGTGATGAAATAAAGAAATTGAATATAAGTATACCGTCTACACTCAGACCGCGAAGACAAGCAAAGCAAGTAAGTTTCTTAGTATTTTTTGAATGAAATTGCATGACTTTATGTTTATTTATTATTAAATAATGAATTTTGTATGTATTTATAAGACATCAGATATTGAATTCGACGATTCTCCTTTCCAAGCTGATAGATTTCCAAGTGATGGTAAGAAAGTTGTATCTACTCCAAGAACTAGGCAAAGTTTAAAGGTATTTTCAGAGAAAATTAATGTTTTGAACAAGTTTCTCTTTCTTAATATTAATCATACCCATCGTAAATGTTTTTGCAGCGAAGAGTTGCTAATGCGGAATTATCTGATGATGAAACGGCACCCACGGCAACAAAATCTCCAAAAGTTAGTAGGAAGACACCGAAGGTGGATAAAATTCGTAATAGTACAAATATTAGTGACCAGATCGAACAGAGTGCTACTCCAAGATTAAGGAGGGCAAAGTCACTTAACTTTGTAGAGGAAAAGAACAGTGAAAACCAATCTCAAATTAAAACTAGAAAATCAAGCTTGAGAAGAACAATTTCGAAAATAAAAGCGGATTCAAAAGAAAATCATGAAAAAACAATGACACCCAAATCGTGAAAAGGGTTTTCAGAAACGTAAAAAAAACTGCGTAGTACTATTGCATGCATTAAATCTTTTCGTTCAAGTATTAGAAATTCAATTATATTTTTAGGTGAAATAAGTAAGGACAAGAATAAATATAACAAGCGTTAAACAAGTATTAAGTTGATGTATAAAAATCAAATACTTGTAATTACATGGAATCAACAGTTATCCATATTACTTATAAGTTCATACTTACTACAAGAATATGTATCGACCTTATAGTATACAAGATTATCGACATTTATGGTTAATACTAATATATAACAAAGAAAACCGTATTTGATAAGAAATAATTAATATGCGTATCTTTTTAGAAACTATGTTACATTGTTTTCTTTTTTTTTACTCTTAGGCTATAACTAGTTTTTATCATTTCACAGCATCGTTTCACAAAAATCGATGTTACACTATTGTAGGATGCTTTTATTGATTACACTGATCCATTTGAAACAAAATTGTTCATAATGTATTTACACAAAATAAATTTAAAAATACAAATTGCAGTTTTTTCAATCATCTATTCAACCAATAAAAACAAAGACTATTATCTCGAATGATGCTCCCTTCGTCGTCAAATTTTCTTTCACCAGTAGATGTAGCCAGTAAAGGAAGATTTTTATGAAGACTTACTCCATTGACACAGTCCTTAGATATTTTAATTTTGTAAGTTGGACATATATCTTCATCTATTGGCTGGTCACTCGTGATTTTCCATAATCTCACTAACCCATCTGTTCCACCTTGAACAAAAACTAATTATGAATATTTGATTTGCAAAAAAAAAACCCTCATTCATGTAATTTAGTTACCTGAAACTATTTCCTCTCCATTAAATGCTAGGTCAAACCATATTCTCTGGTTAGTGTCAGACTGGCGATCTCCTAAGCAATGTAAAACCGCACCGGGATTGCGCAGATCCCAGCATAACAGTTCACCGTTCCGTCGGACAGTTGAGTACAGTTTAGTCCCACACTGACTAAATTCAACTTGAGTGACGCCACTTCCGGCTTGGAATGTACAAATGGGCCCATCCTTATATAAACCTTTTTAAAATTTTTTCTGTTAATCATTATTTTCTTCAGATCGTAGTAGTAAATAGGTTTTCGTTTATTTAGAATTTGTTTCTAAAGTTGAAAACTATGTTCATAGCAGCCAAGCAAGAATCAATACTTTTGATAATGAAATGTATAATACATTTCATCAAATCATTTTGCAAAACAAACGTTATCAAAAAATATTTTCAATATTAATTAAACAGTTACTCATTTTTTGGCTTTATTTAGTAAGCTTCAAGAGATTGAGCAAAAGAAACTAGCATTTTCATTTGATGGACAATCTTAGAAACGCATGAGTTTCTGATATTTGCTCTTATTAACCACATTAATTAAATATTTTGTAAGTAAACTTTTTTTTCCCAATTGTATCAAGATTAAGCCAAATCAATTTCATACAAATGTTAAATCCAGACTTATAGTTAGAATCAACATTGCATCAGTGCACTTTTTTTTCAGAACAATAGTTTTGATTTTTCTAAAAAACTCACCTATACACTTGGAATAGGTTCCAAAAGCCATTAATCCCGGCATTTCTGGATTTTCTCTTATGCAGGAAACTAATCCTGAGACATTTGGAAAATCTTTTTTCAAGAAAATATTACTTATTTGACGACCAGGCTGGTTTGTGTCAAATACTCGTAGAGCGTTTTTAAATCCACTCCAGATCTGTCCACCAAAATTGGCAAAATAAACACTGATGGCAGCTTCAACTTCATCCACTCTGAAATAAACGAAAAATTATTCAATTTTTAAAATATAACGAATCTCATGCAAGCTGTACTACTGACAAATTATAAGCTCTATAAGTCGCTCTTAGTTGTCCAGTGAGGGCATCCCATAAATGGACAGGGCTCCCCTGACTAGTAGATAGGAAGCAGCAAGTTGAGGAATCCCATGAACTCATGTAAGGAAACCAACAAGTGTCATACACCGTACCACCTTCTTTTATTTTTAAAGAAGACTCCAAGTTAAGCATTTGGAAGTCTTCAGGGAGTACTCCACCATACAAGTCTCTGGGAACATCAAATATTTTAACTTTGAAGTCCTCTGTAGGTACAAGTATGCATGTGCCATCTGGAGACCAGTGACAGCCTTTTGCAAAACTTTCACAGATATCTGATGGCTTGAACTCATTGCTAGCTTTACAGATCAGCTTGGGCGCAGTCCATTCATAACACAGTTTCTCATACTTCTCACTTTCAGCCTTTTCATTGTTGACTGCTTGAAAGTCTTCAATGACAACAGTTTTTTCTTTTTCTTCTTGTTCAAAATCCTCCTTCTTTTCCTCTTCATTATGTACAGCTTTAATATTTGGTTCTCCTAACACTGTTTCTCTATGTTCTTGCGGACAATTGTTGTCTGTTACTTTAACAATCTCCTGTTCAATAACGATGTCATGATTAGAATCCTGCGTGTCGTTAACGGTATAGTTGACTTCTTCACTATATTCTTGGAACCTATTTTTTAATTCAGACAATGAAGTTTCAACACTAACCTCACCAGTATAAGCTTTATCTGATTCATTTACTGCATCTTGCATTTTATAATTTGTCTTTACAGAGTAAATAGCAGATAAAAAAGTAAATCTAGTTAGACATAAGAGTGACAAAGAATGATATGAGGCTTATTAAACATTTCTTGACATGCTTTCGTGATATTTAAATAATGTCTTTGGTCAACCTTACCGAAAATAAGTCAAACTCTGGTTGAGTAACAAAATTTTAAAAATCCATCGACACGTTGGGGTTCGTATATAGCTTTCATTCAAATTATAGTCAATGTAGTTGGTTAAAAAATTCATGTACAAGCAATTCTTTTAAGTAAGTACCCAAGATCTCTATATAAGTAAAAGCTGACTTTAGAGTCAAGCGCTTTTTAGAAGAGATCATGCATAGTTTGTTGTTGTGAAGTGTTATAAAGGTGCGGTCACAAATGAACACATGGAGTACGAAATTCCGTTTATCCATATAGGCTTTTAAGGCCTTTACACGCAAATGCAATAAGAGTAAAAAATAAAGGAAAAAAATAGAAATGGGAAGAATTAAGGTGTAAAAACACAAAACGCTGTATCTTTCAAAGTTCTAAACCATTTTTTAAATTTTTGGGCTCATTTTTTTCGTACTTAATTGTAGAACATTCACGTGTAATGTAAGGTAAATGTAAAAGTTGGCCATCTTAGTAGACTAATTTCTAAAGTACTCCATAATTATGAAAAAAAGTAAAATTTTAAGTCCTAATGGGTTTTATTTTGTAGTTGTGACACTATTTCAAGCTGTACCAAAAAGAAATAATTTGTTACATTCACAGAAAAGAAACTTTTGTTTATTACTTGACATAATGGAATGTCCTAATTCTTGACCACTGTAAAAAAATTTGTCTCTGTGGCTGAACCTTGAAGTCAGAGATGAGTTCTCTGTTCAAGTCCCAATAGCTGGCCAGTCGTATGAATTGTACGCAACTAACATTGGTCAGTTCAGAGAATATAAAAACACATCCATTCATGTATTCGCACTCGACAGCAGGGACGGGCGTGTCATTCAACATCGTAAATTCAATTCACGACATGTCATTTATTATGTTTACGATACGTCATAAAAAATGAGTTTATTACATTTAGTGAATTTACGACACGTATCGCGAAAATACTATTTTTTCTAAATGGCAAACAAATTAATTTAGGGAAAATTACAAAAACGCTTTCTAGTTGACATGTAAATGTATTGATAAATATTTATTTTATAACATCTTACCTTTCTCGATTCATTATCTTAAAATCTGGGTACAATTTTAACTTTACTAACAGACGTAGCAGAAAAAAAATGTTGTGTTGAAAGAGTATGATCGATTTTATACTTCTTTTAAAAGCAACTATGAATTTTAAATTATTACACGATTATATACGTATGTTTTATTAAGTTTTCATAACCAAAAATTTACTTTTGTAAAATCCGTGTCATTTATTACATAAATGACAATAAATTACACGTGACATGTCGTAAACACCTCCTGACCAGATTTACCCATCCCTGCTCGACAGCAAGCTTGTGCGGCCTCCTGGTGAGAAAGTAGGTTAGCCACTCATCGGTGGTGCGAACAGCTGATCCATTTATAGGTTAACGGTGGCTAAACATTTATACAAAATACCTGTAATTAAGGCTTTGTTGTGTCCAAAAAAGGAATAGGATAGATTAATTAGGGTTTTATCTAAGTATTTATCATCAATTGGATGATTGGATATGAAAAGTAAGGTGAATTTTGGCGTGAAGAAAGTATGTTGTCGTTCAATGCGCTGTGGTTAGTATATCTATATATATTACTCAAGGTAAATACAACGTCTATACGCACGAATACGCGAAAATAAGTTCACAACCGTTCTCGAAAAGGCTTTCATGTAACGGGGTAAACGCACCATCTACCGTACTCCCGTAAATTCACTTTATTTTGTTACCATGATTGTAAGACAGTCTGATACTAAATATTGACTCAGTAAATTTTAAATTGTTACTTAGGATCTCAAGAGAGCACCCAAATTTTTTTGAGGTGTTAGAGCTTGTTAAAATGATTTTATAATAAAAATATGAAATAGAAGTCGTGTTCCTATTTCCGTACTGCCGTTCTCATTACCGGACCCCATCTACCGTACGTGTTCCTATTACCGGACCCCATTCACCGTTTGACGACAGATTTGACTATAACCTCACATTTTTGTTTACAACTGCATATCGATCTCAGTGCCTGCTACATAAATCACGATGAAAATGTCAAAAGCAGAGAAAGATGGAAAATTGAAAATCAAGGAAAAAACGCCAAGTCAATTATGCAATTCAAAAAGATAGCAGACAGAAAAATCAAAAAAGAAAAACAATTACAGAGAGAGAAACAAAGATTAGAAAAAGAAAATAAAAAATTACGAAAGCAAGAAGAGAAGTTAAAAGCCATTGTAAACAGAAAAAAGTCTGTTGAGGAAGATTTAATGGACGAGACAGAAGCTATTGATTTACAAAAGCAGATTGGAGAACTTCAAGAGAAACAATTAAAACTAAACCAAAAAAGAAACAAAGATCCATCATGAGTAATTTTTGTAATGCAAGTTATTCTGTTATGGCATTAAACGAGTGTATAATGAAGGCGAACGAGTATTAAATGCTAAACATTATTTTATGCGGGACAACAGATAAAAACAAGGATTATATTAAAGTATTTGCTCTATGTTTAAAGAACAAGTGGATTAAAAGACGAACCTCATGAATTGAATGTGGAGATAACAAAAAAAAGTAATTTAATAAAAGTGTCTTGCTCATGTGTTGCTGGTACCGAGGGAAAATGTAAGCACGGTGTTGCCTTGCTTTTATTTTTACACAGGTGATTTTGGCTTTTCTTTTCTTTGTGATTGACTAAAACTGTTACAACTATATTATTTTGTAAATATACTGTAGAAGATCTGAAGATGCGTTGGAAAATTTAAGTTGCACTGACCTGAAGCAACAATGGGGGAAAATGAAGGGGACTGTGGGTGATATGTATAAACCACAAGTTTAAATGCCCATTCCAATAGGGCAAAATGGTTAGAAAAAATAGTGAAAATCGTCAAAGTTGCTTTTTTCCAATTTATGAAAAAACTGTGAGTTTGACAAATGAAGGGTAATACAATAAAAAATACGCAACAAAAATACAAGTTAAATGAGTTTTTGAGCTCAGATTGGTCCAGTAGTTTATTAGTAAGTTGCAAAAAAAACCACTTTTTGAGCCATTTTTTTTTAATACCATAATTTCCGTTTTGTTGCATACGAAGGCTCAAAACTTTGGCAGAACATGTGCTTCATAGGCCTCAATATCCACACAAAATGTTAGCAAGATCAATGTTATACTTTTTGAGAAACTTGGAAAAAACTAAAAAAGGTCCTTTTGAAAAATGGCCTTAAATAAGTTGTGGGCCATCGTGGACTGATTAATTTCAAACTTCCTATAATTCTTAATTTAAAAAACGTCTTATTTTAAAAACGTCTTAATTTAAAAAATGTCTTATTAACGTTGTCGCTTGTATGCATGTGAGATGTTGGCACAATTTTAACTAAATACATTGTTACATTATCATTATTATTGCCATTTTGGTTTTAAAACGTAAAAAAAAGTTCAGTAAAAATTTTGTGGTGCTCTCCCAATAGCTACATTTTGAGCTCGGTGGCACCCCACTACTTTACCACAGAAGCTCCCTTGTTCATAGTCAATTTTTTTTATACTTTGGATAGGTATATTGGTACGGTATTACAGAATGTTACAGAGCAACTCTCAATTAACGAAAGTATGTTTAAAAAATTGGTCTATGTTGGCCCACAACTTATTTAAGGCCATTTTTCGAAAGGACCTTTTTTAGTTTTTTNGGACCTTGTGGCTTACGATGAACTGGAGCATGGCTGCTTCGAGGGCATTGAGCCTCTCGATCATCGGGTCCTTGTTGATTGCATACACTGTTGGCCCTGCAGTGCTGGTGATTTCATCTGCTGCTTGTATAAGATCCTCCGTGTCTTCAGCCTTAAAAATCTTAAGAAGGTTTTGTGTGTACACTGGAAGAAGAGAACGCCATTTAACTTTGAGTGTCTCGTCGGATATTCGAGTACCCGCGAGGACCCTTTATCTTCCTCCACAGCTGCGAAGGCTTCATGTTGTCCAGCCTCGGACTCTGTAGTGCGTTTTAAAATTGCCTCCTTTAGCGTCTTGTATTTGTCTGATGCCGGGGGTGCACTAACAATGTCCGCGAGCTCTGATGTTGTCTCTCGGTCCAACGCGCCAAAAACAGCGTAAAATTTAGCCGCATCATCGGTAATGTTATTGGTCTGGAAAAGCGCTTCCGCCTGCATAAACCACAACGCGGGCATCTCACGCCAAAATGGCTGAAGCGTCTTTTGTGCCGACATGGTCTGCTCTGTCTCTGTCGGATTTCCTGTGAGGTTATGTTGGATACCGCCTACCTTGGGAGAATTACGAGGCGATCCTCTCGACGAATTCGACTCTTCTTCGCTGTCGATGTAGTTGCTGTCAGCGAAGGGTAGGACGGCGAAACCTAGCAGCGGTTCGTCTGGGCTGCCTGGCACGGGGGCGAGATCAAAACAGCGTAGAGGCCTGTTGTTCTCGCTGTTGCTTCTGCGGGACCCAGCAGCGCGACCTCTCCCTCTGCCGCGTCTAGGAGACCAGCTGCCGGCGCGGTTACCGGGAAGGTGGTCTGGGTCTTGATGTTCGTCGAGCTCCAGCGGGGGGGGGGGGGACGGCCACGGCCTCGAAGGCGCGCCTGGCTGCGTGTCTCCGTCTTGAGAGCGTCCACGTGGCACTTGCACTCACGAGTTTAAAAAAGAAACTCGCGAAAAGAGTAAAAGTTTATGTGCCTTACGAAAGCCGATGAGTTTTTACGTTTTAATGTAGTGAACCGCGTGCACTGATTCTCCGCGACCGAAAAGAATTATTATAAACAACTCACGTCAGGAAAATGTTCAAAGTCCGGGTCACCTCTTATGGTATAATTTCGGGAGAGGAATCAGTGTCGGGTGAAAAATACACACTCGCTTAAACTTGTTCACTAATTATTAGAAGAAAACAAACTTATGTAATTTTATATCCACTTCTTCCAAGTCATCTAAAGTAAAGCTCGTTTTCAACACTATTTGCTCTATGTTTAAAAACAAGTGGATTGAAAGAAGAACCTCGCGAATTGAATGTGGAGATAACAAAAAAAAGTAATTTAATAAAAGTGTCTTGCTCATGTGTTGCTG